TTTTGAAAATGGTCTTCTTGTCAAAGCTGAGGGCGAAGATTGACGCGTCTACTCCAAGGGGCTCATTCTCAGATTTAGGGGTAGAAAACGGACCCCAGCACTCTATCCATTGAGCTAACCGGGAGGCGGTTAAAACGTGTAGAGGATCTGGAATAGGTACTTTTTGGTTTTACTCCTGAAGAACAGTCACGTAAGCTCTCTGGGCAGCTTCAGAGTCAGATATCCATGACAATTCGTGCATTCGCGAACAGGGAAGGCCATCCAGCTGACAAAGTTTGCACTTTCGTTTTAATGTGTTCGTTGAAGCGTAACCAAGAGTTTTGCAGTCGTCACAAATAATATCTTCTTCATCACATGTACTACATGAAATAGTACACTTGGATAGGCTCAAAATACAGTTTTTTCCCGATTGTATCAGTTCTTTTGTCTGGCGATCGTACATCTTAACTTTGTCGGAACCTCCATTGCAGGATCGATAGAAGCAGCCGACTGGAAAGGAAACAAGTCCGCAAGACTACACGTATGCGTTATTGACCAAGCGCGAGGTCACGATGGCTGGATATTAGCCAAGTTCTCTTTTCCAATATCCAGCCATCTTGACCGATTCGAGCCCAAGTTTTCTCACGTCCCTCTAGCTAAGAGATTTTACTAAATTAAGCGAGCCAGAGCTGAATCAGCTGGCTGAACACTGAGAGAAACTCGGAGAAGACCAAAAGAACAACAAACTGGTCTTCAAACTTTCGAGATACGTCATGTATAGCAGCAATTTTAGAGAGTTCTTTTCTGAGTCAGCAATTTGGCATCGAAAGCCATTTAAGTCTACTTTCGGAGAGCAAAACAAGTAAGTTTAACAAACTTAACAAATTTCTGTTTAAAGTCTTCCGTTTCAAATCCGTCTGTTCCAAAAACGTTAAAGATAATTGTTTCCCTGAGCGTTAATTAGGAAAGGTTTATTAAAATAATGGTAGCCTCTGATGACTTTTTCAGTTTCGCTCGATCGTTGAACTCTGACAGCCGCTTAAAGGTGCGAGTACATCGTGCACAAATAAAGCTTACACTTCTTACATTTTCCAGGTTCGGTTGTCTGTTTTTTTATTTTGTTAAATAACAAAAGTAAGAGAGAACAATTTTTTAAAGCCATTCACGTGTTCAATTTAAGCATGGTTCTCAGATAAAGCTACACAAATACCGATTGAAAACATAACGATCAGTCAGCTGAACTGAGGCGATTTTAATACGCCAAAGCGCGAAAACAAACAGGAGAGCCATAAATTACATCCAGCTTTCTTGGATTCACACACAGAATTGAAAGGTATCTAAACTCTATTAGTTGGTAACTGCTGCTATTAGGACTTTTTATCGGCTGCATGAGGGATTTATTCCTATCGTTTTTCTTTTATAATTGTTTTATATATATAAATATATATATATATATATACTTTTTACACTGTGTATTGTTTACATAGTTAGTATTTATGTATTTCTCGTAAGGGCACACTTAATTTGGAGCCTCGCTCTGTTGTGTGTCCCGCACCCTTGTCCTCCGTTCTCTTTTGTGTCTTGTTGATATGTCATTTTAGTCTTTTTAGTATTGTAAGTATGGTGAAAGCGATCAAATAAATAGATAAATAAATAAACTCTCCTCCTTACAAAAAGGGCTCCAGTTAGCCAGTGATCCGAGATTTTTGCGGTCAACCCCGATGTACGTATGTATGATTTTAAACGAAGTGGAAAGGAAAACGTAACTCACAACTGATTGGTGTTATCGATTGTAAATGTGTTATCGGTTTTTAGATCATGGTTTTGTGTCTGGCCTTTTCGCAGTTTTGAAAACAATTTTATGTATACTCTGGTCTTAATGATTGCTAACAACTCATTGATCTAATTTACCTGCTCGATGAACGCCGCCTTGAGCTTCACTCATCCCGTTGATCGCCTTTTCAGCTGGGCGACCAGGAACGTCACCTAGAATGTGGAGTTCGTGAAATTAAATTTTGCTAAAAGATTGCTGGTTTTAACAAGAAAAAACCGTAAGTCAAAGTTAACATCAATTTACCTTCTAAGTGTGCGATCGTATTTTCTCTTCTTTCTTTTCCCCACTACACCATTGAATAAAAAAGAAACCGATCTGAAAAGTTGACTTTTACGTTCCAAAAATTATACCTATAACAACACGCGCTCTGTCGAAAGCTATCCAACGTGTTTATATGACATATTATATGAAGTAGAATGTCATGCAGTGTGAGTTACACAACAAAATCCTGGCAAGTTAATAGAGAGCTTAAGCATCAGACGTTTTTGATGTCACGGACGTCAGAATACCGGGGGAGACTGGATCGACAACGGCGTTTTAGGCGCGAAATTTTTACTTAAGCTGGACACCTGCGTCACCACGAACGTGACAGCTGATCACAGTTGTCACGTTTTTGGTCATTGTTTACAAAGGAAATGTGGCCGTAATTTGCAACATGCCGTATTTAAAGGATGTGAGAAAATCACTTTTAATCGCTCATGACCAGGGACTGGTGTCAGATGAGGAACTGTTGCTATTACTGAAAGAGAATTCGACAAAAAACCCTGAGTTTTCGTACGAAAAATACGCGAGGTTTAGTATCGAGAGTATCGAGGAACCTGAGTGCAAGTCCGAGTTTAGAGTTGAAAAAAAGGACCTTCCACTGCTGGCTGATGCGCTTCGACTACTGGACACCTTGCACTGTAATCAGAGAACCACCGCCGACAAGTTAGAGGGGCTATGTATTTTGCTCAGGCGAATGTCGTTTCCTTGCCGATATAGCGACATGCTCGNACTGATCCTTTTGTCATTGAATCCTTGAATAACGGATCTTGTAATCCACTTAGCGCCTCTGCGATCGACAGCCATATTTGCGCTCGGTTGCTCGTTTTCTTCTTTGCTTTAAACGGATTCTGCACTCTGACTTCTTTCATTAGTGCTACGTCGTGCTGTTCAGACCATTCCATAGGCCCACTACATAAAAGAAAAAAGATAGAAGCGAGTGTTACTGTAGGTAGTAGCTGTATAAAATAGTCGATCACATTTCAGCACTAAAAATAAAAAGCTTAATGGCGGGGAAATTAATGCACTTTCTTGAACGTGAAATACGGCAACGACATAAACCTCTCGACAAAAAGAAAACAACTAATAACAAAAACAAACACATGGCAAGATAACTTGCTATTATATAAGTATTTTTCCTGTTCTGGAAAAAACCTCTGCTCGTAGGATAACTAAAAGAATGGCGACAAACAAAAAAGAATTCACGATCAAACAAAACCAAGTAACAGAACCTGCGGAAACTTGTGCCAAACACGAAGTTAGGCACATTTTGTCCCATTTTTAAAAGTTATTGTTTAAGTGCAGATAAAAAACTACTTTCTTATGAAACCTACAATGTACTTACGGGTTTGATTTGACGATTGAAAATGAAGACATGGTGTCAGTCTTGTACTGAGACAGTCCTGAAACAGAGCAAAACAACACGCACGGCAAACATCCCACTTTCACGTCTGCGACCTCACGTCAAAAACGTCTGCACATGCGTACTGATTGCGAAGCTCATATTTAAACTTCCGGTTGACGTCCGTGGAACAAAAACGTCCGATGCTTAAGCTCTCTATTAACAGATTAATCACCCAGCTAGTCCAAATACCAAGGATTACTTTATGAAATGGACCAATTTTTTTTTAAGAAGCCTTAAAAAAAAAAAAACCTTGTTAAGGTGCGCGTGGTGAATTCCTTTTGTTATCCAGAACGCCTGATCCTTGATCCACTGAAAAGCACCGCTGATTCCGATCCTGGGGGTTGTGATCCCAGATCCCGAGGCTGTGATCCCGGATCCCATCCCTTTTTAGGCGTTTGATTTCTGATCCCATATACCTCGTTACGACCCTCTGTATGCCCTTTAGGCAGATCGAGTGGATCGTTATATCCACTATAAACAGTGAAAATTTCCTTAATGTACTGTGGACAGTCTGAGTGAATTTTTGGGTACCCCCGACCCTTTTCCCAATGCACCCACTTTCACATTGTTTTCCCGTATCTATTATAAACAATGTTTGTGTATTGTAGTCATTTTGAGTAGTTTGGAACATTGTGAAGTACGGAGTCCTAAATAATGTGGCCTTGTGTGAGTACTGTGTAAACGAGGTATCTTATATAGTGACTTCACGATGTAAATATCCCTTTAAATGGCTAAAATTACTTTACATGGAGCTGCCATCTTGATTCATTTAGCGAGGGAAATATATGACGACGACAAAACTATTCGGAGAGGGGGGGGGAGGCTAAAGAAGTCGGCGGATCTGGCTTAGCATGGTTATGACGAAAATAGGTAACTCAATGAATTGTTCAAATGAAAACTGGTGTGGATATTAGTGGGAATCCGGCCAATATTTAGGTGGTTAGGTGGGACTTCAGGTATAAAAATCTATAGTTACTGTAATATCATTTGTAAACTTTTTGGAATACTTCGTAAGACAGAAATAAACAATATTGGAGAATTGATAATAATCCCCAGAAATCATTAATGCGCTCCTTTTAAAAACACTTTTCGGTTACTTCGAAGTTCAAGAGAAAGTTTCGCTTTCATCTTCCGAGTACGACTTTATAATTTGGGTAGCAAGTACAAATACTTAAATGCACCGTCGAATGATCCAAAATTTTAATTTGTATCCCGGTAACAGTATCCAGTCGCTTTTAACCTCCCGAAAATTTCTTCTTTACTTAAATTGAATAATAGCGAAGGAGTAAAATTAGCATATCTAGAATTTGTTTTAGTGCATGGTAACTGGAGAGCTTTCTGTGGCGCATTTTAAAAGAAAGGAAAATTAAAATACACTAGGATGACAGTCATTAAATCGATGCAATTGTTTCAACGATGGAAAGTTGTCATGACGCAGTTTGTGTATGTGCAGATGTGTTTGAACTAGAAAACAAGGGAAAAAAGCGGACGACTTTAGTGAACCAGAGCAGGCATCCCTAATGGCCCTAGTTTGGGATAAAGGACTTGTTGTTCCGTTTAATGAGGAATTTAACTAAACAATTAGGCTGAAATGGGTGTTAATCGACATCAGTAATAATTTGTCACGAGCTTATAATAATATTCATTGCTTGTGCGGCAGCTGGTCTTGAATATCATTGATGACGACGCTCAAACTGGAGCAAGGTGTTTTTTTCAAAGCTTATTTACTTCTTGTTATCGCCATTTAGTGGAAGGCAGAATTGAAACAGTGTTTTTTATCAAAGGATATTATCCAAGTGAACTAAGAAGAAAAAGAAGATCCCATGTTGTTACTTAACCGTAATCAGCGCATATCGTTCGTACAACGTTTGGTTAAAAGGATTTTTTTGGGCTGAGGGGCCACAACATTGAATAATCAAGGCAGCACGCGACTCTAAGAGGATGCGCAATACAGGCTTTGATATCTTTGTTATCACTTTTCACGTTGTTTTAACCTTGACAACTTGGTTTGGAAACTGTTTAGTCTGTGCAGTGATATGGAGGACTAGAGCTCTGAGAACTGTTCCAAATATGATAATTTTCAGTTTAGCCTTCGCCGATTTGCTCATGACAGTTGTATTTGTGTACCGAGTTGTTAATCTCATAAGCAGCGAGGAGATTCACTCAACGTGCCATGTTATTTCAGAACTTGCCTTCTGTACAATCTGTGTGATAATTCTACATTTGACAGCCATCAGCATCGACAGATTTATCGCCATAAGGTTTCCACTCCGCTACAAACCTATTGTAACAGGGAAACGAACGAAAATTGCACTTGTTTGCATATGGATACTCCCTACGATAGGAACTGTTGTGTCTCCCCATTCGCTTCCCGACGCAGAATACGAAGACTTCGTTGATTACTACGACTCATTTCACTTGTGCTTTTCATATCATGCGCACCAATTCCAAAACACATCGAAAGTCTTTGCTGCAATTATAATCTCCATATACATCGTTTTGCCTTGGCTTGTCACAGTTAGCAGTTACATGTATATCCTGAAAGTGTCACGTGATCAGCAATTGAAACTTAAACATGATGCTCACTTGGAGGGTGAAAGGGTGAGAAAGCTCGAAATCAGAGTAGCAATAACTTACGGTATTATCATCGGCGCGTTCATGGCTTGTTTTTTACCCCTCTTGATAGGAACTCTGTACCAACAGTTTATTGACAATGATGAGCGAGAGGAGATGGTTCATGTCATGAAGATTTTATTACTAATTGCATCCGTCAGTGCCTGCATTAATCCTATGGTTTATACTTGGAGAAATCAAGAATTCAGAAAGGCCTTCAAGAAAATATTTAAAAGAAGAAATGAAGAGACTGGCAACGAACTGACAACCTTTTCGAGATACTGATAAACTATGCAGTCAAAAGGGGGTTTTGTTTACGGAACATAGCCGAATTATCATCAGTTAACGATCCTAAATTGGCTGTTCCAGGAGTTCAGATATGAAACAAGCGCACAGGGAACAAGCCACGCCTAGCGCAGAACGTAAAAATGGATGAACTTTCCCTTTATTTTCTGCTTTGTGCTATTATCGCGTCTCGTTTACTGATTGGACGCCTTGAAAAAGAGACTCTGAGTCTTCAAAGGCACAACGGTTCCCCGGGATTGTTTTGTACCTCAGTAGGTTTGACTCTTGGCCAGTGGGCAGAATGAAGTGGTCTTTCTGATCATGATATCAGCCGGGAAAGAACGACGAAGCGTAGACTGAAAAAAATGTTGAGGCTGGCTTCTTTATTAGTTACCCCCTTCTATTAAAGAAGTATGTTTCATACCTCTCTAGAGAATCGCATCACAAAAAAATCTCGATCAACCAATAGTTATGAGTCGCTTGAATTTCCCTCGACACCTTTCACTTTAATTTGAAGGCTGAAAAGCACGTTACTTATTAACATAAAGACAAAGACTTTCGTTAACAGCTTACCACTGAAGAAAGTACAGTCTAATCTATTCGTGTAACGCGGCACGCCGAGCAAAACTCTGCAGTTTTATCAATCATGGTGTAAACTTTCAATAATTTCCAACATATATGAGGTAAGTTCAGCGATTTGTGGCTGATGAAGTATGACGTGTAACCATAGCCTGCAGTGCCGGCGTATTTTGGGCGCACGAATGCACATTTTCGTATTAGGCCGCCATCTTAGATTTGGTAACTGAGGAGGATTGGGGCGAGGAAATAATTGCCGAGGGAGTAGGTGTTAAGTGGAAATATGAGCAACGGGGGAGAGGGAGGGGAAGGGAAAAATAGGCCTGCCCGCAAAGCCTGTGATTTCGCAAAACGCCTCCTAATTAGCAGCGCTTGACCACCTTTCCGGAAATGTGCAAGCTGCCAATGAACATCGATTTTTGCTTTTACCGGATAGAAGCCAAAAATTTACTTCCGACAAAAACATTGACACACGTGTATTTGTCAACTTCGTGCGAAACAGAATCGATCAAGCGAGCGAGTGAGTATGTGAGTAAAGTTATGTCGGAAAGACGTCCTAACGACAGTTGTAGGATTTTCAAATGAGGCTTTTACCAAAGCCCGTCGGAAGAACTGCTAGTAAATCCCTTCCATGAACAAGAGAAGAAATGGCTTCCTTTTGTTCCGGGCGTAATACAAGCGACATACCCAGCTCAGAGAGAAATAAAAGCGCTTCTGCGAGAGCGGCATCAAAGCTTAGCGTATCCGCCATTTTCTCTGCAAATCACTCCCGCTCCCAATCGCGGAACGACCGGAAGAAAACTACTTTAGATGACAGGCATCAATCCAGTTTCAACCTACCGCACCAATCAGAGGCCCCGTCCATCTGGTGTACGGATTTTGCGAAATCACAGGCTTTGCAGGCAGGCGTATTTTTTCCTTCCCCTCTCTCTCCCCCATTGCCCATTTTTCCGCTTAACACCTACTCCCTCGGCAAATATTTCCTCGCCCCAATCCCCCACAGTTACCAAATCTGAGATGGCGGCCTAATACGAAAATGTGCACTCGTGCGCCCAAAATACGCCGGCACTGCAGGCTAGAGTAACCAAAGACTTATGCTTTATCAGTAGCATCGCATTTACATGTAGTTTGAGCCGGTAATGGTGTAGAGTGCTTTGAATAATCACAATTTACCTTACAATTAAGAGTGTGTCGAGTCTGATTCCAAATATGAGATCATAGTTGTATTTTGTTTTTTGTTTTTTCGTTTTTATCGAATTCTGTATACGTAAAATTGAAGATCTCTCGGATACCTCTTTCCTCTGAACTTTGATGTTGACAAAAGGTGAAAGGTCATAGCTGCAGCGGGTTGATAAGCTTAGTTCTTACGACAAGGAAACATTTGTGGATGATTTTGTTTGAAAATTTACGTACTGCAGAGAATTTCAATTAGCTTTTCGAATGTAATTTTACAGTGAAGGAAAAGAATTGAGATTGAATAAGTTCTGGGATTAATCCAAGCTTATGGGCATCCTCGAGAAAAACTTAAAACACATTCTTTAGCTTTTATTTTATACCTGTACTCTTCCTTGTTGTCTGCGTTTTTATTGCTGTAAGCAATGTTCTCTTTAAATGTCACAAATTTGTTTGAATTTTGAATGAAAGGTTAGAGAAAATCATGCCAAGTCGAATTTTACAATGCTCTTTAATTGCGAGAGCCTGCGGGCAAATGTAGCAGATTACTTAAAATCCCCAAGAGAATAATAAATTTATTTCTGTCGTCGGGAGACGAGAGAGGCTGGGCAAAAAAGCGTTTTTATAGACCCCCGGCCGGGTTCTCGGACTCCCACCAGTTTCGGTCCCCATTAGTTCTCGTGCGACCCCTATGTTCTCTTTTCCACTGACCAGGAAATAGCATTTAATGATGATAGCTGGATGATGACTGATACTCAAAGAAACTATAAACCCTTGAGTATAGTCATATGATCTCTACAGTGACAACAGCATCAGAGTGGAAAACTTTCATGAATGAAAGCTCTGTATGATTGGTACCTATGTATGTCGACTCACATTAATTGCAGCTGTTATTATGATAACATAGTCACAACCATTACGATTCCTGGTTTATGGACTGCTTGTTTGGAAGTGATTACCTCGTTGTTGAACGTTGCGGGTACTGATAGAAAATGTTGGCTTTTGGTCTCCATGCTACTCCTAACGAAACGCTGAAACTAAGAATTGGTAAACCAGCGTGCACTCTAATCTTTATCGCAAAAGTCTGTGACTTCGTTTTCAAGATAACCAGAACCCGATAAGGCAAGATTTCCGTATAACCCCATACTTAATGCATACAAGTCTTGCATAAAAGAAAGCAAGGGCAAAACAACAGATTACCTTTGGGATTACGGCTTTGTTTTTGACTGGTATGCGAAATCTTTCCGAAAATACTAACCGTTTTCCTTTGTGCGTTACTTTCCCTAGCCAACTGAACGATGAAAACATAAACCTAATTTCACACTGACTTCTCCTTTTGTTTTGCAAATACACCTGAAGGAAACTGAGTAACAAAAGCATTTGCAATTCTAATATCGTTTTCTACTGAAAAATATCGTCTCTACAAAGCATTCTATTCGTCTTTTTTTCTCTAATCGAAGGAGAGTTCACTTTTAGCAATGATTTCAGTACTACTTCTTTACAGAAAGTCGTAATCAAGTAGAAGTCATGAGTTTTGGGTTGATTTTAACTGAGTATTTGACATGCAAGGACAATCTTTCCTGGAAACCATTCGTGCTCTCAATATATAATGTGGAACAAAAGAAGACGGAGGACAAAGGTAAACTGAATTGTTTCAAGTTGTAATCTTCCTTTCCTTTCACTACAAATACCGATTTATATTAAGGCAAACGATGATCAAGTTGACCTCATTGTTTTGCTCTTATGGAGCTTGTATCGACCCGTAAATGCGCTGAAAAGTAGATTTTGGCGAACGGGTTGACTTCGTCCTATGCTGTCCCAGACATTTTTTAATCAGTGGCGGCTATTGTTCAAGTTATCTTTGTGGCTATTGTATGCTTCAAACTTTGGCATTATCATTACAGTTACTTGATAACAGAAAACATACTTTGTTTTTTTGAAAGGTTCAGTTTAAACGGAAAACTTTCACAAAGTTTCCCTTCATGTAAGGCTTACAATTAGTAACATTTACGTCATGCCCAAAGAGGAGCTGTTCTGTCTTTCATTTACCTCACCTCGTTTTACCTAAAACCATCAGCTAATCTGGCTGAAATGATTGCTACAGTTAATGATAAATCATACTATTTTATAAAACTGGACCGTTTGGTTCGAGACGTGTACTCACAACTACTTCACATCAGAAACTTCCTCATTCCGTTTAAGCTCAATAATATTGTATTCATTGTAAAAGGTCTGTCTGGGAATTTAAATGACATTAAACCCCAGGGACTGATGAATAAAAATACCACGCCTCTGAAATAAAATAATTTCGTTGTTTACAACACGAATTATAATTTTTCTACTCGTCCTCTTGTTATTGGTTTTCTAGAACTGCTTTAATTATGAAATGTCAAATTTCACCTTCGTGCTTTCCGTCTTTTTGCCGACGCAACTTTTCAATGAAATGTTGAACCATCGTCGAACTTCGATATTTGGAGTTGAACTGCTTGCGAAAGCCTGAGCTTGCAGCCGCGTTTTTTAGCGCGAAAATAAGTCAGACGTACTTCTAGCTAGTCAGATGCATTTTGGGACAGGAACGAGCGACACGCACATTTTCGCATGCACGTTTATGTTTTGTCAGCGTGAACTGACTTGTGAGACTAGATGCTAATAAGTAATAAGTAAGTATTGCGTTTCTGTCAATTTTTGGCGTATGCTTGGTCAAACTTTGACCCAGAAGAAAGAGTACATGCATGAAAACATACTGGGGATTTAAATTCATAAATAGCTGGCTTAAGGTAAGGCTTTGTTAGATATTATTTATCTTTCTAATTTTTAGCCAAAATTCTACATGGAATACTGACGTTCAACGTTTTAGTACCCGATAAATCTAAGACCGAGAAACCATCTAGGTCATAATCATGATCTTTGCTTTGATGCAATATCGTATAAATTGTATTTTGATTTGGTTTTTACAGAGATAATTCAGTATGGAGCCGTTCGGTGTATTCTGTTGGACTACTTGTGTGCTTACAATGATGTCACTGGCCAAAATAGCATAAAATACCAAATACCCGACATCAGTTATTAGCGACGGAGTCTTGTTAATTACTATTAGCGACGCAAATCGAGTGAGATTTAAATTTGTGCATCGTGAGTTAATTCAAACGAAGGGGTCGATCGATGAGCTCGATTTTGCCTCACTATATTATCATTATTATCAGATATTGTTTCGGGCGCATTGAGCTTTGATTGTCTAGAGCTATCACCAACACCAGATGAAGAGCATTTCTTCTAAAATCGCGTAGGTAGCAGACAAAACAACGGGAAAATATTTTTAACAAATTAGGCAGGATATTAAAAGAATCTCTATGCCCTGAAAAGGACTGTTAACTCCTGCCCTCTCAAATATCGCTAAGAGTAGCTGAACTTGCTTAAAATAGCTCGCCAGATTCTTGGCCTTCCTTTTTTTGTGTAACGGTAGAGGTAATGAAACGAACATCGAAACAGGCCATTTTATAGTTGTGTACTTAGTTGCCAAGCCTTTGATTTGGAGTGAGGCTGAAGGTGACCTTGTTGTGATAGTGACCTGTATCTAGTTAGCCTGACAACAAAGTGATTTACATTTGAAAGGCAGCGAAGTTTGTATCATAACAAGGTCGGAAAACAAGGTCACCCCCAGCCTCACTCCCATTCAAAGGCTTGGCAACCAAGCACACAACTGTAAAAAGGACTATTCAACTTGATGAGCTTGAACTGACGCGAAGAATTTGGACATCATTCGTTCGATAGCTCAGTTAATTTGTCATAACCTCAATTTTCCTTGATTCCTATTTCTTTAGAAGACGTATGCAATACAACTGTAAAATTATTATTGCTTGCCAGTCCTTTGGTACAGGCATGACTCAATTTGAAAACGGATGTTAACCTTTAAGCCCAAAAATAAAACAGCTGGTTCTTTTATCTAACAGGAAATCAGAAAAGAAAACTTCTGCCAAGACCTCACGTCCAAATCTTTCAGGGGAAGTTTATCATGACTTCGGCTTTGTTCATTTCTTTTCGTACTGGGAATCATTTGTTTTGTTTTGTTTTGTTTTTTTTTTACCTCTTCTTGGCCCTTTTTTACTTTATTGGTTATGTATGATGTACGATCCTCGCAGTAGATAGCGCTATTTATGCAATAGCGAAAATCAGACCTGAAAAAAATCAGGCCTGTACGGGATTCGAACCACTGACCTCTGCGATACTAGTGCAGCGCTCTACCAATTGAGCTAACAAGCCAATTGGGAGCAGGCCGTTAAGTTGATTCGTAATAAACCCGTGATGATAAATCAGATACAATGAATATATCAAGTTCATATATTTTGACCTGCGGTATTAGATACGTATGATGTACGATCTACTGCGAGGATCGTAAATCATACGTATCTAATACCGCAGTTCAAACTATATGAACTTCATGTATTCATTGTATCTCATTTATTGGTTATATTAGAAGGTGTTTGCTCCATTTTTCTGTTTGCTTGTGTTCTAATGCCACTTCTAAAGGTTAAAAACTGGTACACTTTCAATCAAGTAGCTAATTGAATTTCACCACAAAAGCAGTAAAAAAATTGTCTTTCGCCCAAACCTCAGAGTTGCAGGCGTATCCGCCATTAAAAAATGCGTTTTGCTAACGCATAACTGTGATGCACTCAACAAAGCTAATGTCGCTCATTTTCTTACATTTACTTACAACGGAAAGAACGTTTCCGTCAGTAAAGCCCACCTCTTTCCGAAACGCCCATCCTGTCTTAGCTCCAAACGTGACCGATTTGTAGTAGTTTGGCGCGTATTTCCGGTGACCAAAGGCAAAAAAAAAAACGTAAACGAGGCTCACAGTCAGCGTCTTTTTCGCTTAGCGATTCTTATATACTTATTTCACACAAAGCAAAACTGACCCAAAAGTTATTAGCTGAGTGCCCATTCGAAGTTTGTTCGGCTTTTAATAGCCATGAAGTTGTTATGAGGCGGAAAGGAATTCCTGCGCATTTCCGGAAATGCTATTAAAAATCTACCGTTTCCGGTTTTCTCTTCAGTTTTTGTCACACCACGCACTCTTCTACGCCACGTTCTAAGTGACCTTTTGAGACACGACATTTGAAAATCACGACTGTTCGGTGGCCAATTGTTATGGAAATTCTAGCAGTTTTATGTTGACACGTCTAGTAACTTGAAGCCGCTCTCAAGACATGAGGTAGAGTGTTGTTTGGAATAGCATGGCAATTGACGTTATTTTCGACCAAACACCAAATACCAAAGCTCATCTTTAAAGCTAGGAAGATATGGACGACGAAATTGGTTACTGCGATTACAGCTGCGAATTATGCAGCTTGGATTTCACGACTAGACGAGTAAGTTCAAGCATCTGTGAATTTTTTTGCATGCATGACACGACTTTTAGCTCAGCTCCAACATGTAGATGCGTTATTAGTTATATTCTTGAAAGCTTCTATCATGAGTGTTTTGAGCATTTCAGCATTCTATGATTTTATCATTTGCAAACCAAGCACGTTACATCTTGACTATATGGGTACACTGATGGAAACTGAGAAGACATTATATCATTATGAAAAATTATCGTTCGTTATGTTTATTATCTTTTCATAACAGTAGGGTTTCAGACGTAGGGTCTATATTACCCTCTTGCTCATGTCCATAAGCGATCAATCGTTAACTGCATGAATTTATAATGAACGTTTCTTGGTCGGCAAGCGAATCGAAACGTTCTGGTGCCGGCAATATAACGATATAATGTCATGACAACATTATAAGAGGCACTCTTGTCTGGTTCCTGACCTCAAAAAAGATCTTTGTGAATAATTTCTAGCTGTCAAAATGGCTCAGCTTAGTGATACTATTTGGTCACCACTCCAAATCTTTGTTAAAAAAATTGTAGTAGTAAGTACTTTCTTGAACTTCTGCCGTGTCTTTTTTTTTTTTTTTTTTTTAGTAAAATGATCAATCGGGTTCAATGAGGAACTGATTCATGTGTAAACCAATGTGATCTCTGTACTTCATGGTTATTTTCTCTTTTGGATTTCAGGGTTTTTTTTAAACACTTCACTAATCAATGTTTATATCTATTCAACTTTGTCATTTTGGCTAATTTTTTCGACTAATAATATAGTAGCCTGCATGGTTAGTTGTTGATGTATCCTCCACAGAATTGAGCTGTGTAGTAATGAGAGGGTTGAGATGGGAATATTGGCAGAACTGCCGGCCCAAATTGACAAGGTTTTGAATTTTTGACTGCATGCTAACAGATCTAGTATTCCTAAAGACTGAGATCGCTGTCATGCCGATCAGATGTCTTGAATATCTCTTAAGGGAGGCACACAGGAAGCTAAATTGATGATACCCAATAGGAAAAATCTGGTTACAAAATAAAAGATACTTTAACAAGTGTTAAGCAAAGGGACAGGAATTTTTAGTCCACTGTGTGAATTTTTATCATGGTGATCAAAAGCTTTTAAGTCTCTAATGGGGACAAGCTGGTAAGATACATTATTTGAATAGAATAATTGCATTTTTACCTCTTTAATGAGAGGTGACTACTCCTGTTCTTGAGTGAATTTGATATTTTCTTGTAAAGAAATTATAATTCAAGGCTGTGCTCTAGGGAAAACTGTATGGAGCCCAGTGCTATGAAACTGTGAAATCCAGGGTATCCAGCATGAAAAAAACTAAAAGTAAGGTGCCAAGGGCCACCAGGCACTGCTTGACCACAGCCTTGTAATTCATAAGTCAGATACTTGTACTCTTTTTAGGTCATTCTGGTCCAACTGGCTATCATAGTGTTTTTTCGTTTGGTGGTATTGGTATATATAGCTTTTATTAAAAACTGGGTCATTGAATAATGCAATTCAAGACTTTATATTGGCTTAGCCATTATGGTATATGAGCCAATATACCATAACCTAATATCTGTACATTGTAACATCCGGCTTCTTCTTACAAAATAAAGTCAAGAAGATTTGTCTAATATCTTGGGGGCGTTTTTTTTTTTAATAAATCAATTATTCCACTCGCATTTGTTGGATATGAGATGATTATAGCCAACGAGGCGCGTAGCGCCGAGTTGGCTACCCATCATCTCACATCCAACACACGCTCGTGGAATAATTGTTAATTATCCCAAGGTCAGAGGGAGATGCTCTGATTCTCATGTCTGTGATAACCAGTGTCATGTGGCAAGCTATTCAGCCATGATTGTTTACAACATAAAACTGTAAAAACAAATGATAAAATCCAACGTTTCGGAGTAGTCATGACTACTCTGAAACGTCAGATTTTAGCGTTCGTTTTTGCAGTTTCATGTCTTAAGAAATCCCTTTTGATACGGATTGTTTATAAATAACTAAACTGATAAGAAATGTGTTGGGTGTTGGTGCTCAAAAACCTTTTGAATATACAGTCCAGTTTCTCTACTTGAGGCCTGACTTGCTATTTTAGCAGCTTCACATCCTTTTTTTCATCAAGCATCACAAAAAAAGACACCACCTACACAGGCTCTTAAACCAGATTATATGTACTCAATTTGATGCTAGTGCACAGATAAGCAATCTTTCAGATTTAAGACAGATTTTATCAAAGCTTGCATAAAGGACAGTTTGCTGGATGAGAAATGCATTCTGTTTTCATTTTTGTTATTCATAGATGAAAGTGATCCATCCTATCTGATTATTGAAAAATTCTGGATCTACAACCTAAAAGGTTACTGACTCACTGTTTCTGTTTTCCTGACAGGAGCTAGAGGAGCAAACTTGGTCCATACTTCACAATACAAACCTAAGCAGGAAAAAGGGAAGGTAAGGGGAACTGTGTTTCATTTATTTGTATATTATTTAATTATTTATGAAATATTATTGAACTGGTTTGAATGGGTTTGAAGCTGGTTTAGAGGGGGGCCTGTTTAAATAATGACAAAACCAGACCATAATGCCAAGGGCTACATTTCCTACTCTTTGCAAGAAGTGTTTGGGTTCTTTAACATCCCCTGCTAACCAGTAAAGAGAAGATGCAGGAGATGTACTGCATGTTTGCATCTTAGAAGAGCACAGGTAGCCCAAGCTCTGTCACAGGCTCTTTCACAGTGAGTAATTGAAGAGTTTGTGTAGTGGTTTAGTTGGACTTGCTTTTGAGCTCCGTAAATGTAAAGTTGTGTGAAATAATCAAAGAAATAAAGTCTTACCTTCATATAGAGTAGTCTGTGTTGTTCTCCTCGCGATTTGAGGCCGTTTTGATGTGTTTCAGCTTGACACCCTAAATTACCGTGCATAAAATACAGGAAGGTTGGAAACTTCTGTTGACACATGCTCGCCAAAATCGCTCGAAAAAAATCCCACAAAAGTTGGTTTGTCGAGAAACCAATCCAGCGAGAATTTCAAATTAACGGCCGTTCAGAATTCTTCTAATGCGTGGAAGGAACTTCTTGTGCAGCTGAGAGACCGTTAATGCGCGGTCAACCTGGAACCTAGTCAAATCTCTCTCAACGGGTCCTCCCCATAGTCTTCTAACACCAACTCTTCACACATACTAAGGTACCCCGGGTAAACTCATCGACTTGACTAGATTGTTGATACTGTCCATCTTCACTGTTTTCAATGGATTTTTTTTTACAAATATCCTCTTACCCAGGGTACCTTAGTATGTGTAAAGAGTTTGTGTTAGAAGACTATGGGGAGGACCCATTGACAGAGATTCGACTAGGGTCCAGGTTGACCACGCATTAACAGTCTCTCAGCTGCACAAGAAGTTCCTTCCATGTATTAGAAGAATTCCGAACGGCCGTTAATTTGAAATTATCGCTGGATTGGTTGCTCAACAAACTGACTTTTGTGGGATTTTTTACTGTGAACTTAAAGGGAAACTACTTGGCTTTTGTGCTGCTGAGTTTTGATTTGAGTGAAAGTATTTAAGTGTTGTTTTCGAGTGATTTTGGCGGGCATGTGTCAACAGAAGTTTCCGACCTTCCCGTATTTTATGCACAGTAATTTAGGGCGTCAAGCTGAAACACATCAAAACGGCCTCAAATTGCAAGGAGAACAACACAGACTACTCTATACGAAGGTAAGACTTTATTTCTTTGATTATTTCACACAACTTTACATTTACGGAGCTCAAAAGCAAGTCCAACTAAACCACTATACAAACTCTTTACTTATTTTCTGTGAAAGAGCCTGTGACAGAGCTTGGGCCACCTGTGAGAAGACTAGAATGTCCATGACTAAAATGTATTATTAAATTTATCTCACTTGCTTTCACTAATATTCAAAGATGAATTGGTTTATATACTTTCCCTTGGGATCCAGTATAGCAGTTCCTGTGAAGTGATGGGAATAAAGGAAATAATTGTGCTGAAAACAGAAAAAAAGCTCCACCTTCACAACAGATTGGCATCTGAACCACATGTACATTTAGAACACAACTAGTATTACAAACCGTAGTCTAAATCGCAGTCTAAATCCCACATGGATCAATGAATGCTTTTCATTCCACTAATTTACTCATGTTTTTCTCGTTGCCATGTTCCCACCAATAACGTAGCTCCATTTTCTGCCTTTAAAAGCACACACAACCCACAATTCCTCTATTAGCTCTGACGATGGGCTAACACTCGAAACGTCAGCTTTTGTAATCGTTACGGTGGCCAATTTACCATTTCAACTTTGTTGATATCTCCAAATTACATAGTATTACAAACCTACAATGTATAAATTTGGATATTATTCATTTGAAAAATATGTGAATTAATTGGAATACCTCATCCTATATTTAGAATAACAGTGTTAGATTTGATAGCCTTCCTGCAAGATGAATTAGTTAAATCTTTAATTTTGGGTTGTGAACCTGTTTTGTGTGTCAAGCCCACGACACAAAGTGACTGAGATTTATAAGCAAACATCTGAAATAAATTTGGTGTCAAACTCTCCTCCTTTTTGAGTAAAGCTAGTGACACTTTTCCATGAACTTGCATTGTTACACGAAAGACTGAAGCAATTTACTGGAGGGGACAATGATGAAGGTTGTTACTGATTGTTGTATCAAATCTGATGTATTTACTTCTGGATATTGCAAAACTTTGTTTTTCTTCACCACTAATTGTGGGTAAATGTGGACCGAGCATTCTTTTTTAATTGTACTCGTACATATAAGATGAAAGTTTATTTACAAATATATAGTGTAGTCCATTTGTATATAGCATTGAATTTGTACTATATAAATATACTATTTTCTTATATTATTATAAAAAAATTAAAAAATTTATTATTATATGATATCAATAGTACAGTAATTTATAGAATTTTAACTGCCACCTCCCAAAATGTGAGACAACAAATACATGTAAGTAACACAACAAAGCAGAAAAAAGGGAAACCTAAAGAAAAGGAAACTCAGAGAAAAAGACAAGTAGTCCAGTAGTCTTGGAAGTAATAATGCTCAGACATTAAAAAAAAGTCATGAGGCTAACCACAAACATGCTGTGGGTCACTTTTCTCCGGGCTAAAATTTGGTTTGATTTTGACAATGAATGGCACTGATTTTAAAATTTATACATAGGCCAACAAAATTAAGTTATACTACTCCTCAGGATACATGTAGGTAATTTTCAGTATTTACCTTATGGAAAAAAATCTCTTGCTTGCTCATTTGAAAATGTATTTTATATTCCATTTGTTTTGTAGAGATTGCAAGCATCCATGTAGCTTGTGCAAACGGGAATTTACAAGCCTTTCCGAATTTAAAAGTCACTTGCATGGTGACAGTCACCAGGAGAAGGTACACAAATGGCAGAAAGAGCACCACCATGAGTTGAGCCCAGATAAAGAGCACTTAGAAAGTTCAGACAAAGAAAAACTTCAGAAGTCAGAAAAACACAAACCACAGATCCCAGAAAAACAGAAACTGGAGAGAAAACCGCAAGGAAAAGAAGAAGGAGAACTGTCTGATTGGGCTGCAGATGATTTGACAGGTGTAAACACTTTTGAGAATTACTTGAGTGATCCAGGCGGGGAAGCAATCATGAATGGCTATGGTAGGAGCCATCAGCCTCCATGTGGTAGGAGCCATCAGCCTCCATATGGGGGTTATCCTGGCCAGAGTCCACCAAGAGGAATACCGAGTCTGTTGGACCCACACTTGCTTCCAGCTGGTCGTGCAGGGGAGTATGGATTTTACTATCAGGAAGAAGAGATGAGAAGGGGTAGAGGGCCCAACCCGCCATGGCCTCATGATGCAAATGACGGCTGCCCAGTTTGGAATGGTTTTGACAATGAACGGGATTTCAGAGAGCCTTCATACATCCCTGAATATGCTAGAATGAATCATTCAAGGAACTATGATAGCAGCTTTTCAGATAATTATCCTCCAGGCCGTAAACGAAGGGTATTTGATGAAAGACAACCTGGTGATCTGAGGGACAGAATCAGTGGACGTGGGAGTACTTCGTCGCAATCATTTCATGAAGAACGTCCGAGGGTAAGAAGTGTGGTTGAATCGAGTTTTACGACTTCCAGAGAAAATGATGAACGAACTTATTCGAGACAAAATAGGAGAAAGGGTCTTGATAATCGAAGCCAAAGGGAATCCCCACCCCGCACACAGGATCCAGGAGGACGAAAGACCTCACAAGACAACAGAGACAAAGACTTCAAAGAAGGGTCACAAGGAAAAACAAGTCCTTCTTCAGAGAGTCTTAGTGGGAAAAGTGCAAGGAAGAGTAAACCACGTAAACTGACTCGAGCAGAAGAACAGAACAAAGATGTCCCTATTAGTAAGAATAGTTCTTCAAAAAACGTTGAGGTCAACTCTCATTCACCAAAGGGTAAGGAGTTAGAAGGAAAGAACAGCGATGGGAACAAAACAATGGATGAGGAGAAAGATCAGACCAAATCTGGGGCTTCCTCTCAGCAAGTTAAAGGAAACAGGAATGGGAAATCAACCATGGATTTCAAGGACTCGATTACCGAAAAGCCCGAAGCGAGAAAAGGTGATCGGGGTGCCAAACAAAACACCGCATCAACAACCACAACGGGGTCAACTTCATCTGTTAAAGGGGATACGCTATCTTCAGCTAAAGGAGCTCGAGATTTGTCCTCGCCACCCATAAAAGGAGAACCTTCTTTGTCAGAAAACAATAGTGCTAGTCCATTATCTTCCAAAATGGACTCCTCGTCAGCTGCTGCCACTTTGCTGTCAGTCAAAGGGAATTCTTCTTCATCAGTGAAGGAGGGTTTTTCTGTGTTGACAAAAATTAGTGCAACTTTACAATTGAAAGAGAGTTCCATCATAACAGCCATAAAGGAGTCTTCCCTTCAAACCAGAGGAGCCTTATCTGCATCCAACAACCCACAATCCTCTTTAGCAACCAATGGGAAATCCTCACTGCCAACAGAAACCTCTGCGCCAGCCCTCGCTAGAGAAGCAACGATTGAAAAGACGGTAGAAAATCCTGCTCCAAAAACTTCAGACGAATCCCTGAAATCGATCAAAAATGGTAAAGAAGTAGTGACGGTTGCTCATGGGAAGGTAAATTCGGTTGCATTTCTTGATAAGCAAACGAGTCAGTCTCAGGATTTCAAGAAAGCAGGAAAGAAATGTGCATTTTCTTCGTTATCTGCAAGAGGCCAAAAAGAATTTGGTTTGAATGTAAATGAACAGTCACAATCACTCTTATCTTTGAGCAAAGACAACGAGGGTTACTCGACTAATTGTGCTGATGAGACAAGTAACTTATTGCAAGAGAGCAAAAAAGAAAAAACAGCCAATAACCAAGGAAGAAACAGTTCGAAAGAAAGCGAACAAGTGAATAAATTATCAACCATTTCAGCAGTTGCTTCCTTGCCATGGGAAAAGCGAGAAGAACAACTTAGAGCTTTGCTCGGTATAAAGAAAGAGCCTAAAGACTTGGAGGTAAAATTTGATGATAAGGAGGCTATTAACCAATAGTTACTTTATGGGCAGTTTAGTAAATGAGCGAACACTATACCAATTTTAAATGTTCACGTTGTTTGGATTTTGATAATTCGAAGAGAGAGAGAGAGAAAGAGAGAGAGAAAGAGAGAGAGAGAGAGAGAGAAAGAGAGAGAGAGAGAGAGAGAGAGAGAGAGAGAGAGAGAAAGAGAGAGAGAGAGAGAGAGAGAGAGAGAGAGAGAGAAAGAGAGAGAGAGAGAGAGAGAGAGAGATTTTCCCAGGCAAAGTGCACACGAACAAGTAGGTTTTTTAATGCATCGCAAGGAGCGAATAAACATCGTTCGTGCACATTGCCCATGGTATTATGTTTTTATTTCGCATGTCAATGACTGGAAGTGAACAATTATGACAGGAACGATAGTATGTATGAAATAAATTCCTAATCCAAAAAGGCTGCTGATCCTATTGCTACTTGTTTTGTTGTTGTTGTTGTTGCTTTTTTTTTTTACTAGACATTACGGCTGTTTCCATTTGCTAGAAACGAAGCCATGAAAATGCATCTATG